GAGTTGCCCCAAAGCGTCAGTCTGGCGTCATCGTCCAAAAGTGGCGCCGAGGCACTGGGACCCGCGGCGGCAGTATTGGAGGCGGAGGTGAAGATGATACCGTCTTGACTGCTGCAGTCTGTCAGCGTAAAGCATCCAGACGAAGTGATCCGATCTTGGCTTGGATTGTCCGACTGTCCTACGGTCCGTTCGGAGGTGAGTATGGTCTGATGAGCCGCCGCCTGATCGGATGAGAGGACAACCTGTCCCAAAAATGAGCGCAGAGTGGGAGGATTAAAAATGGTTGCAAGTTAAAGAAGAGGGAGCGAAAGTTGTCCAACTTGCGGCAGTAATTGAGGCAGGCAATGAGACAAGAATATGAAGACCAAGCTGTTATTCTCATATTTGACATGAGCAGGTGTGAAATCAAGAGCAAAAAGTCATCATAGATACTAAAACCAAGATGTTGGTCTAATCTCGTTTTCGCAATTCGGTCATGTTGTTAGGGGAACTCATTTAGACGCACTCTGCTATAACAGTTATCATAATATCCAGCGTCGGATCGTAGACTTTGTGAATTCCCAGACGCTTCATCGGCATCTTAGAACCAAGCTACAACTTGTCTAATTGACGAGTTGTAGTTTGATGCTGAGACTGGCAAGATTCACCGACGATGCCGATGCAGCATCTGGGAATGCACCAAGTCCACGGTCCGAGGCTGGGAATTATGATAACTCCTATAGAAGAGTACTTTGGACAAGGTTCGTCCAATCAAATCGCCCTGACAACAAGATCAAGTTGCAGAAATGAGGTCAGGCCATAAAAAACAAGAGCTTCACTCACCCAAGGTCGTCTAGGCTACTGGAGGACTGAATATTAAAGTTGACAACAATAAAAAGAGTCGTTTTCTAGACTAATAGTAATGCCTGAGTACGGCTGAGTAAGCCTAGATTACTTAAGAGTTGAGTTTCTTCCACACAATCACATAAATAGACCTTAAGATACCATTAAATTTCAATTAGCCTTGCCTCCTAATTTCGACCTCTCCTGAGCCCGTCTCATCAGCACCCACAGCCGGATTCGATGTCTCGTTTAATGTGATGAAGGACTGAAGGGTTGAATTTTCCCACAATCACATGAGGACAGTTTTAATTTCCATTCCATTTCACATAGCCTATATTTCCCAAAAGATATTCTCTTCCAGACAGGAGAGGAGTGTAGTTTGAACTTCACCTGAACTGGTCTCATCAGTACCTCCAGGTAGACTCGAACATGGGTCGTGGAACCGCAGCGTATAAGCTCGACACATTAACCATTACGCGACATTGCCAAGAGTGTCATTGTGCAACAGAGCAGATGTTAAAATCAAGGAGGGTCAGGCATTTTTCATTATCACATTCTGTGGTGGGATTGTCGATGAACCGAGGTTATATTGGCTACAGCAATCGAATATATTACTTAGGGTGAAGACATTACATATATCTGAATTACTGGAAGTCTCGGAAACCTACTTACAAATGATAACTGAGTAGTCTATATCTTGGCAATGTACCACTGCATTTCACTCCTCGACCGAGGCTGTCAGTAGGTGGCAGGGCAGATGTTACATGCAGGGTAAGCCAGGCCTATCCCAATTCACATTTTTATAGTGGGATTGTCGATTAATCAAGCATGTGTTTGACATTGTAATCGACGAAAAGAAAGTGAATGTAGCAGGATTTGACGCAACGTTTGGGGCAGATAAAAACGCACTAACTTTATTTACTCTCGATCGCTTTGACTACTGCAGGACTAATTGGTGAATTTTCCCAAAATAAAATGAGAAGGCCTCATAGTTCCTCATGATATTCACCCAGTCTTGTCTCCAGAAAGGATTTTCTCATCAAAAGTGCTCAACGTGATTCGAAATCTAAACGATGTGGCCAAGGCGGCGTGAAAACTGCGGTCCTGACAGATTGAGAACACCTTTCAGGAGGCGGAAATAATCATATCATTTTAGACAACAATAACTGTCTGTCAAGCAGGACTTACGGGATAACGAAATCACAACTACGTTTGTGCTTGGATCATACAGCCTAGGTGGCCTGAGACTGAGGTTAGGCTATTTTGTACAAACTATGAATAATGGTGTT